CTCATCCATGTCCCTTTCTATAAAACCAGTTACATTTCTGTACAGGTCATTGAACTCCCACGCCAGGAGTTTATAACTATCCATTTCATTTCAATTCACTCAGCCTATATTACAGGCCTCATTTCTCTGTCATGACGATGACACATAAGGCTTAAATCCCTCAGGTGTCTTATTCAAGCGTGCAAACATTTCTGAGCCACTCGTAGCTATTCCCATGGTATCAACATAATTCTAATACATTGCTGCTACAGACTATAAGTCTGTTTCTTTTCACACTCCACACTCATCATACTACTCTCTTTTACCCATTTTTAGGCTGTCAAGCTTATATAATTGCTCCACACGGTTTATTCCTGTGATTTGTCATACTACCAGGTACGTACACCTGCTCATATGGTATTCTACCATACATTTCATTTCATCCCCCTAGTTTAGAGTACTGGCAATAGGGTCACAGGATTCCCAATAGGTATTTACCCCGTCTTGGCTGTCGCCATCAGTTAGTGGTCCCGCGAGGCCAACACCCCGCCTCAAACGTTTCGGAGGCAAACACCCATCGGGCCACACGTTAGCTAGCCGCCTCGCATGTTGCAAAGAGAGGGCCTCACCTGTCACTCCCTTTCCCTGTTTTCTGTCGTACAGTCACCGAGAGGCCTAAAACTCCTGCCACTACGTCAAGTGGCCTCAATAACCCCTCGCGCCAACGCATAGATAGAGCCTCTCAAGCCGCTTGGCAATTAGCAGGGCCTCACCTGTCACCAAACAAGGATAATACTTTCGCCATCCGGCCTAGCAAGCCTGCCAGTACAATTTGGTGGTTCTATATACTAATTATTGTTTTATTTATAGTATGTCTCAGGAAGGGGTAGAGGATTTCTCCCTGCCTAGCACCCCGGCTAGAGCTGTCACTCCCACACAAGGAGGAGAGCTAGCTAGTCCAGCATCAATTAGATCCTGGACAATCCCGCGCATAACCACGGAATTAAGGAGACGACAAATCCCCTACCCCGCTACAGCAAGGAAGGCAGAACTTTTCAAACTGCTACGCACATCAACTAATAACATGGAATCCGGGGAAGGATCTAGCCAGTCCATCCCAGGGGACATACATGCCATGTTATCCTCACTCATGGCATCCATGGGCAAGGTCAACTCCAGGCTGGAGAAACTTGAGTCGGTCACCACGGCCCTCACTCTAGCAGGGCCACCCGCGGCTGTGGTACAAACACCAGCCTTGCCATTAGTCTCTCCAGCCAGCACCCTGGATGACCAGGAAGTTAGCCCGGCCCACATGATACCTGAGCATATCAAAAGGGATATCCTGGAAGGTAAAGACGTCAACCTGGCTTCCCTGTTGATTTCCTCCCAGGACATTGTGGAACATAAGACGTATGCTTATGATGATGTTTCTGTTATTGTCAGATCTAGGGATGCCCGCCTGAACAGGAAACTGACTATCCCAGAATTTGTACTAGCGTTTGGTATTTACAGGGATGTCATCTGTGCGGTTTATCCCAACAGAAGAGAGGAGTTTCATCTCTATATGCACAAGCTGGTAGACCTGGGCAACAAATATGGTGGTTCAGCATTCTATGACTACCATAGGTCTTTTTCTGCAAAAGTGGCTGGAGCCTTCTCCCAGTACGGAACACGATCCAACTGGGGAAGGATTGATACCGTCTTATTTTGCAGACACTTTGCAGGTCTAAGAACACCAGCTTGTGCATACTGCTCCTCCACAGCCCATACTACTAATTTTTGTCCCAACACGGCAGACGGACATGCCTCCACACAAGGAACTAGTTCCTCTGGGGATCCAGGGAAACTATCCAAAGACAAATTGGGACGCCCAATCAAGTTTCTGGGCAAGTCCCAGATATGTAATAATTTCAATGTTGGGTCTTGTAATTACAGTGGATGTAGACTATTGCATGTCTGTTCAAAATGTTTTAGGGCACATGCAAAGACCATGTGTCCAAATAAAATGTATTCCAAGCCTTACCTTACGTCCATTAATATGCCAGTATTCACAGCATTGATGTCTCAGCACCCATCTAGACACCTGGTAGACTTTCTTATTTCTGGTTTAACAGAAGGCTTCCACACAGGTATCCTACACATACCAGCTGGAACTCTGGAATGCCCTAACCTACAATCCACCCAACACAACCCCACAGTGGTTGACACCCTCATAGCCCAAGAAGTGGATGAGGGCTTTGTATTGGGGCCTTTTAGAACTCCTCCATTCACAGAATGGCGCACCAACCCTATTGGTATTGTCACAGGGAAATCTTCCCAAAAACAGAGACTCATCATTGACTTATCGGCTCCCCACTCATCGGCCAACCCCAGTCTTAATTCCCTCATACCCTCTGAGGAATTTTCTCTGCAATACACCACCATAGATCACGCCATTACAGCTATCATACAAGCAGGGGTTGGAGCCTGGCTCAGTAAGACCGACATTACTAATGCCTTCAAACTACTCCCTATCCACCCCACACTGTGGCACTTGCATGGCATCAAGTGGTCCGGGAACTACTATTTTTTCTCCCGGTTAACTTTTGGGTCCAAAAGTAGCCCAGCTATTTTCGACACATTTGCTGAAGCATTATGCTGGTTACTATTGAACATAGCCAGATGCCCTACGGTATTACATTACTTGGACGATTTCCTACTGGTCGAGGAGAATACTGCACCTCCCACTAGCCTCAAAGCTACCACTAAGCTGTTTGAGCAACTAGGTGTACCCATCTCCCCAAAGAAAACAGAAGGGCCAGACACGGTTATCACTTTTCTGGGTATCCAATTAGACTCTGCCACTATGCAAGCAAGCCTACCATACGATAAAATAGAGAATATTCTCACTTACATAAACAACTACCTACAGCTCGGCACTTGCAACTGCAAAGAGCTACAGTCCCTTCTAGGGTCACTAAATTTTGCGATGCGCATCATACCTCAAGGCCGCTCCTTTATTTCACGACTATTGCATCTTTTCCAACTTTTTCTACATGACACGCACAGGTTGTCCTTAGATGCCCAAGCTATGGCAGATCTAAACATGTGGAAGAGGTTTTTAACCACTTGGAATGGTAAAAGTATGTTCCTCCCTCAATTGACTGAATCATCTCCTACCATTTGGTCAGATGCGGCATCTACCACTGGTTTTGCAGCAATTTTTGGGAACGAATGGCTTTGGGGCAGCTGGCCTTCAGCAGTTCTGGATTTGGAAGGTTTTTCCACTACCTCAGCTCTTTTTGAGATCTACCCCATAGTGGCGGCTGCCGTAGCGTGGGGTCATTTATGGGCTAATACGCCAGTGCGTTGTTACTCAGACAACCAGGCAACCTGTCACATCATCAACAAAGGTCGTTCCAAATCTCTTACGATCATGAGATTTCTGAGGAAACTCACTTGGTTGGCAGCTTGTCATAATTTCTTCCTATGTTGTTTCCATGTGCCAGGTGTATATAACACAGCTGCTGACAATTTGTCTCACTTTAAATTTCAGGAGTTCCATCAAGCACTCCCGTCAGCA